TAAATAATCGTAATCATGGTTCTGTCACATCTAGTGTTGTACATACTGACAAGCTAGCACTACCAAATAAAATAATATTAGTATGTTCATAGATACTGTTATACTTAAAAACACAGTTGTTCACAGAAACATTAACTGTTTCTCCTAGGTGAGATGTAGTTAAAATTGTGTTATACAATGGGGTAAGAAATGCGTTAAATAATAATAATAATAAAACAGACGTTGTTTACCAAACGTTGACGGGGGATATTTTGTGATTTTGTGACTAAGGTATGTTTGTCAGTGCATATATCATCATATATCTATAACACATTTTGTGTTGCATGTAGAAAGCTATCAGCACTTCGAACTATATATATATACGTAGTTCTTATGCACCAAGATGATAAACATTATATAGATATATCTACACCCAATAAGCCCCTACTTCCAAAGTGTTAAGCGGATTCTACAATATTTATTTAAATTTACAATAATACTGTGTGTCCTTAGATAGTCGTGAACAAAATGACACGCGTATTTCCAAAACAAGTTCTACAGGAGAGATGACAGAATCCACTCCACATCTCAGTTAATTTTTGTTTTATTTCTAAATAACGATTATAGCGTGCACAATGGTTGTTTTAATCCGTCACTGTATCCTCTCGGTTCTGAGCAAAAACAACTTTCTGATAAACTGTATCTCTCGGTTCTGAGCAAACACAACTTTCTGATAAACTGTATCTCTCGGTTCTGAGCAAACACAACTTTCTGATAAACTGTATCTCTCGGTTCTGAGCAAACACAACTTTCTGATAAACTGCATCTCTCGGTTCTGAGCAAACACAACTTTCTGATAAACTGCATCTCTCGGCAAACACAACTTTCTGATAAACTGTATCTCTCGGTTTTGAGCAAACACAACTTTCTAAAAAAACTGTATCTCTCGGTTCTGAGCAAATACAACTTTCTGATAAACTGTATCTCTCGGTTCTGAGCAAACACAACTTTCTGATAACCTGTATCTCTCGGTTCTGAGCAAACACAACTTTCTGATAAAGTTATCATTACCTCTACCTCCACTTTAATATCATTTAACCTATATAGTTTTACAGATAATAATGATAATATCACGTTATTCATAAAAGATACAGTATTGTACAATAATCATTTGAACCACACAGTTTTAAAAAGTTTTCTATATTTATATTAATGGTAGTTTGTGTGATTAAAACGCCCGACTTGCAACCTGCGAATCGTGGGTTTGAATCCTATTATCTAACATGCTTTCCCCTTCGGCCGTGAGAGCGTTATAATATAACGGTCAATTCTACTTTCCGTTGGTAAAGAGTTGCCCAAGAATTGGTGGTGGGTGTGGTTAACTAGTTATTTTCCCTCTAGTATAACTCTTCTAAATTAGGGATGGCTAGCGCAGATAGTCCTTGAGTAACCTTGAGTGACATTCAACAAACAAAAAGACAAACAATTTGAGTGATATTACATCATAGTTGTTTTGCAAATATATCTTTAATTGCCATATATTTTGGGTTTTCCAGTACTCAGAAACATGATAACATTTCGACCGCACACCGTTGCCGACGAGGCCTTTCGCTCATTATCAGAACTCATCGGCTCGGCTGTGAATGGAATATACAAAGTTTCAGCCAAAATGCCCTTTATATCAGTTATTTATATTTCTATACTCAGTTCTATAAAAGATAAAAAAATCCCCCCAAAATATTCAATGCCTTATCGTCCAATATTGAATCTTTTTTGTGTATGTGTGATTTTTTTCGTGTGAAAAATCTACAGTACCAGATCTTATTCTAATTGCCTGGATCTATACAGCAGGCTTACGATACCCGAAACTAAACGTTCCCATGTTTTGAATACACCGTTTGCCTGGATCTATACAGCAGGCTTACAATACTCGAAACTAAAACTTCCAATGTTTTGAATACACGGTTTGCCTGGATCTATACAGCAGGCTTACGATACCCGAAACTAAACGTTCCAATGTTTTGAATACACGGTTGTTTTCACAAGTAGGTCAGCTAAGTTATGCACTGTGGAACGAATAACAGAAGGAAATGGAAATACACGTCTTATAGACAATGCTAACTATCACGTTTACTGAAACGTGGTGTCTGTAGATGGACGGATGGCGCCCCCTTGTGTCAGGTTAAATTGTTCCCGAAACAAAAATTTCCACCTCATATTTCTCCAAACTGATGCGAAGGGACTTTTGATCTTCACGAAACTTAGCACTGTTTAAGTTGAAAATAACAGCAAAAGTTACAACATATCAAATGATAACGTATCAATTTTCACCCTCAACAATATCTAGCGTCTCCTGAATTGCATATCACTGATATTTATGAATATTTCGAGAACTCCTACAAGAGTGTTGAAAGACCTCACACAAACTTACAATGCTTTATTTTTTACAGGTAATGTTAAACATCTGTTTACTTATACAAAATTACAGATGACATAAAGACGTCATAAATGTTTGTAACTATATATATATATACTACTCTTTTTGGGTGTGCGATGCACACGTATATTTAATTTTTTTTGGCGGGGGATTAAAAAATAATAATTTAGAACCAATTTCACGCAAGGTAAATAATATTCCATGTATATGTATAAAACAATGAAGCAGCTTGTAGAATATGTGGCTGAAGCAGTTGAAAGCAATGGAAGCAGATTCCATTAACTGCTGTTCTTACATAAGGTTTGTTTTGTTTCGAATTTCGTCCAAAGCTGCACGAGGACTATCTGCGTAGCAGTGTAAGACTAGAGGGAAGGCAGCTAGTCATCACCACCAACTCTTGGGCTACTCGGAACAGTGGGATTGACCGTCATACTATAACGCTCCCACGGCTGAAAGAGCGAGCATGTTTGGTGTGACGGGGATTCGAACCCGCGACCCTCAGATTGCGAGTCGAGCGCCCTAACCACCTGGCCACGCCGGGCCGACTTACATAAACTTTAAAAACGAATAAACCCCAGAACTTTCTAAATGCAGTATGTGATATTTCATAGAAAATTATCAAGATTTTCTAAAACAGGGAACTCTTTCAACAAAATATGCACTGAGAATTTCTCATATAATTTCAGATAATTTTGAAAATAACGAACAATATTTTATGGGTTAAAATATGCCACAAGAAAACATGCATATTTACTAACTTATCGTAACTGAATAGATGTTAAATGTATATGCAACCATGTGTAGAGAAAGTTGATGTACAAGAAAATATCTAGTCAAACACAAGCATAATATTGTTTTGGTAGTTAAATTATTGAAACACAGATGTAGCATTGTTCCTTTTATGCTCATTTTAAGTAAAGTGTACAAAGTCAGCAGTGATTGGAAGAGTGAGCTCGGGAGGTCCGAAGCAGTACCAGTTACACGAAAAACATAGAAGCTTGATCTCGTCTTAAAAACAAGAGTAAACACGTGTGAAAAAGAAATAAGGCAACATGTGGTCCACATTTTGCCCCCCATCTCGAAAATTCCTTGGTGGGGTATAAGCTGTATATCCTCTTTGTCTTCTAGGGACATAATGGTTGGGACAGCTTTAAAACGAGTGTATTATGATATCGAGGATAGAGAAAACATATACTTAAGCATCAGACAACTTGTGTAAGCCTACAAAACGCATCTGGAATTCTCAGTTGAATTTATTCTTCCATTATTGATGACAAATGTAATATTGGAAATCACGAAATAACTGAAAAAGTTATTACTCATAATCTAACAGAGACAAAGATTTGTTTTAGTGCCAAGCTACACAATAGGCTATATGTGCTCTTCCACCACGATGTGTGTGTATTTTATATAGCAAAGCCACATGAGGCTATCTGATGTGTCCCCTGATTTTAGTGGTATATGTGCTCTTCCACCACGATGTGTGTGTATTTTATATAGCAAAG